CACCCCAAAGAACATGGAAACAGAGGGTGCATTCACAGCTCCAGAGGACACAGGTGGCCTAAAGAACCCAGACTCACCAAGATGACATGGAAGGATGTACAATAAAGACTCATGATTGGAAGAACAACAACTGCTTTTCCTGACATGCTAAACTTTATCCTTCACCCCTCCCTGCGTGAGAATATCATGCAAATAATGAAATTACTTCACAGGGTGTTGATAGAAAAAGTGCCACTTCAGGCTTTCTCATTTAAGAACAAATTTTAATCTTCTCTTGATTTCTCATTTCAAATCTTGGGGGGAAAAAAAAAAGAAATGTGATTAGAAAGTTTTATATAGGGTGTTACACTTAACCCACTGCTAGTCCTGTTTATTTTTATCAAGGCCATGACTCAAAATGTTCTGCAGTAAACAGTGATCTTTGAATAGACCTTACAGAGCTTTGGATTGAGTCCAAGTATATGTATATATTCAAATTAAAGCTGAAATAGGAATGAGAATATGACAGAGCAGCATGTCTCAGAATATCAAACATACATGCTCAAGCACTTCTATGTTTTCTTATTTAAAAGGGTTACAGGAAAAATATTTTCACACTGGGATTTCTCTCTTTTCATCTGACCAGAAAATTAGTAAGAATAACTATGCTTTTATATACTGCTAAGGTGAAATGGATCTGCTCTGCAGGCAGCATGTTTACTGGGGAATATAAAAACAAATATAGACAATGATGAAAGATTCTGATATTCTGCCACTGCTATATTTGAAGAATAGTCTGGAAACACTAAGCAGATGGGATAAAATTTATAGCACAATGGGTTGAGGTTCAAGTATGGAAGAAACCACAGACTTTACAGAGCAGGGAGAAAATAAAGATCCCTTTTTTTGCATATAGTTATGTAGCAATGCTTTGGGGAAGGTTTCCTTTGGAGAAAACATCACTAGTACTCTTATAGGAGATTTTCCTCATTACTATCATCTGTACTGAGCATGGATATCTAGTTCTCCCAGGTTCTCTGCCTAGGCATTGATATTTGAAGTCCTCAGTACCTGAAATTCAGTCACTGACAAGAGCAAAGCTGGGAGACTGCAGCATTTCCAGTGGATGTAGCATTTGCACAGCACGTCCTTCCAGTGCTTAGTGAATCCCTGGAAACACCTACAAAGCTGGAATATACCAGACCAAGTATTTCTATGTCTATACACTTACTTCAGCATTGATACAAAAGGTGTTTTTAGGTATTGCTTTCTTTATTACTAAGTTTAAGGTCTCAATCCCCATTTTGACAGGGCTCAAAACTGAACCCTTTGGTGGGGAACATATTTGCACCCTTGTGCAGCACGGGGTGTCTGTGGTGTTAGTACAACCCAGAAATCAATGTACATCCTCTGCCTGTGTGCTAAGCACCCAAACCTTCATCAGCTTTCTTTGAATGAAAATCTTCCACTAATCTGATTACCTGAAAAGAATTTGAATGAAAATCCCTGAGAATCTAGAAATTTAGTTTCTTCTTAAGATCCAGCAGCACGTACTTCAAATCCAAAAGGCCATTTCTCAACTCTTCTAAGTCTAACATAGGTTATAGTAGGTACAGAGCAGAGCCAAAGTACTCCTGAGTGCTGAGGAAAAATAGAAGTGTTACTTGTTTTAAAAAGTGATGGCAAGAAGCTTCCTGAACTGCCCGAGCCGAAGATCTGTGGTGTATTCAGGAGAGCACGGGCCTGGGAGATGCTTTAGAACAGTTGTGTCCTGTTGATCAGAGAAGACTTTCAACACAGCTTGTACTGAACTGTCCCCGTGACTCACCAAAGATGGTCTCAGCAGGACAAGAGTCCTCCCCAAGTCTGCAGAAGAGGCAGGGGACTGTCACAACTGTCCCCTCACAACACCCCCTGTCACTGTAAATCACCCGCTGTGTCACTGCTGCAGGGACTACTCCACTACTCCTTCTCCATGGACCTCACATTACTCTGGGCATTTCTAAGCTCATTTTTACTCACAAAATATTGTGGCCAGAAATTCTTGACATTCTCCTAGGGCTCTTCACTGATCTGTACTGACCCTTTCTCTCCTTTATGCTTTTTGTGACCTCGTCCTCTGTTTTCCCTCTTGCTCCTGACACCTCCTTCATGGACTTCTTAGTGGACACTCTTTCTGTTCTTTCTCACCCTGCAATCTTCTCAGTCTTCTGCCTCCACTTCTACATCTTATCTTGCAGTAATGTTATCCACCTTCCCAGTTTAATTATGTGTGATGACTTGGCTATTAAAATCCCACTTCTAGCTTCCTCCTTCCATTGAATCTAGACATAAACACATGTGTCTGACATTTCCCGAGTGCTTTACAGCAGCTTTTACCTGTTCTGGCTAAAATGACCTGCTTACTTTGTTCTTTCTTGACTTTATTCATTTTCTTTGCTCCATGTCACTGTCAACCCTCACTTTATGCTACATTTTCACAAAAGCTTTTGTTCATTTATCTCTTTCACACTAACCCACTCTGTGTTACCATTAAAATTCTTGCCTGTTGTTTTATTTGGATTTCAGCTCTCTTTCTTGACCTTCTCTATCTCACCCTCTTTCATTCTCTACAGTCATTTTACTACATCTGGTAAACCCAAGATTCTCTGCTTACTGAATTCATTTTGCCAGCTACTTCTTTAGAACTCTCAAAACCAAAGTCGAGTCTTTCATGGTCACAGGTAACTCTATTTCTGTCAAGCTCCAGAGGGTTAAAGCCCATCTTTCATTTCAGAAAACGTTACTAGAAATATTGTGGAACAAGTTGGTCTTAACACAAGTTTGTTTCGAAAACACATGTGAAGTTGATAAGAAACTTGCAGAATGGGCTAAAGTGCAACAAAACAAAACAAAACACCCTTAAAAATGCATTGCCCTGCTATCAGATAATGCCTGAAATCTGACAGAGCAGTATAAATATACTGAAGTAACTTGATAAGCTGGTTTATGGGGGTTTCTCTTGGATTTCACTAACGTGTCTGCTTTCAATTACACAGATGAAAAACAAGAGCTTAACATCTTGCTCTTCCCCGTTTGCAATAAAATGTCATGTCTGAAAATGGACCATTAAAACAAAACCCAACTAAAAACTAACTTAGAGGTAGCACTCACATTTTAAAACTGGTAGTATGTGATTTTGGGGGGAGGTTTTATCTATGACAGAAGGCAAGAAAGCACAGATTTAGCCTTTTATGTGTCCTACCTCCGCCCATATACTTCCACAAATTTACTGTTACAAAAGCACATGTAAAAATCATAATCTTAAAATAAAACTCATTCCACAAAGTCAGTGGAACATTTTTTTTTATTACAACTATAAGCTCCCCCTGAATAGACATGTTTCCAGATGTTTAGTGAGTTAAAGCTGTCTGTGCCTGTAGTACCAAGACATGCCAAAGACAGAGTTAGAGGATGAACTATTAATACACTGACTGGCCATGATGATGTAACTCATCTTCTTCAGTACTACTATCCAAGTACTGTACTGGTGAGTTCTAAGGATACAGAAGTTCTCAGTGAAATTAGAATATTTGGGAATAAAAACCTGACATACCTTTTACTGCCAAATTTGGCTACACTTTGTGTTAAAATAAACTTTGAAAACCTAAACTTATTTATTTAATTACTTCTCAGTTTTCTAAGAAGCTGTCCAGTAACTAAGGTTAAATGTACAGAGATTATAAAGTAAAATTATTCAGTGTTTTACAATAATGTTGAATGCTAAAAATTACTGTGTCTGCACACTGGGACACAGCAAAGCCACAGTTTTGCTGATGTACTCTGTTGTCTGAGGGAAAGTAGGAGCTATTTGGGGATTCTGGAGGTAAATGCTGCTCTTCTAACCACCTTTAGACTGTCCCTCCCTCTTTAAAAGGAGTGGCTACCATCTCTTTATGAAATACAAGGGTAACTGTGACAAGTGCTCTGCTATCCGAAAATCTACGACTGAAAACACTGCAGTAGTAACAAATAATTTACTTCCCTGGCTTTTGTCTGCCATTGTAGGGCCCAGGCCAGAGACCACGTGTTTCTAAGCATTTGCCTGGAGTGTAATCAAACCTCAACACTGAATGGACCCCTCGGGGTTACTCGTATGGAAAAGCCGCTTACCTGTTGGCTGTGACAAATTCATTATCACCACAGGAGAAGTACTTTCTTTGTCATGTCCTACAAACTAAGATTTGCATGGGATTGCTACACTGAACTAAATCAGGTTCATATCCTCTTTAGAGACAGCACTAAGCGATCAGGAGCAAAGGGCGCAGTGCGGGAGGGGAGTCACGGCCGGCACCCAGAGCCCCGCTCTCAAGAGCAACCACACCATTCATAACGTTCCACATTTGCCCTCCGAAAAGCCCGCATCCTTCGCTCCGCTGTTCCCCCCGCTCACCGCCGGTGCCGTGTCCCGTGCCCTGGGCTGTAGCCGGGCAGGGCAGGGATGACACCTCCGGCCGCCGCGACATGTCGCGACCGCAGGACACCCTCCGGGCTGCCCCAGCCGCCGGACCCGGGCTGGATCCCGGCGGGCGGAGCGCCCCGCCCGGTGCCCGCGGCACTGCCCGTACCGGCACTGCCCGTCCCGACGGAGCCCCGTCCCGGCACTGCCCGTCCCGGCGGAGCCCGTCCCGGCACTGCCCGTCCCGGCACTGCCCGTCCCGGCACTGCCCGTCCCGGCGGAGCCCGTCCCGGCACTGCCCGTCCCGGCACTGCCCGTCCCGGCACTGCCCGTCCCGGCGGAGCCCCGGCCCGAGCCCGCCCGGGGATGCGGCACCGGCGGGGGCACCGGCGCTCGCCACGCCTTTCTGCTCGCTTGGACGTGGCAGCGGCGCTTTAAAGCCCGGCCGGGACCTCCAGGGGCACCGGGCTGGGGGACACCGCGGGGGCAGCCCCGCCGCCCCATCCCCGGGATGCCGCAGCCGGGAGCGGGTCCCGCCGGCGCGGCCAGCCCGGGCACGGCCGGGCTCGGCTCCCGCACTCACCTCGTGCCCGGAGCGGCGGCAGCATCGCCGGCAGCAGCAGCAGCAGCAGCCGCAGCAGCAGCAGCGGCCGGGCCCCGCACAGCTCGCCCATCGCCGCCCGCAGCTCCCCGCACTCGCTCCGAGCGGGGGCTTGGCTCTCCCGCCGCGTCCAGCCGGCTCCCCCTTCTCGCTCGCCGCCGCCGCCGAGGTTATCCCGGCCGCCCGAGACCGGCTGGAGAAGAGCTGCAAGAGCCCCCCGCTCGGTGGGCTTGACAAAGATTTAATTCACCGCCCGCCCGGTTAATTACGAGCGCTCGGCGGGACGGAGCGGCCACCGCGGCGCGGACCCTGCTGCTGCCGATGCCCCGCCGCCCCCACACGCTCTGAGAGCGACTCCCTGGAGCTCGGAAAACTTCACAGATCCTCAGCGGGAACCTCGGGCCGGCGTGACTGATTCTGTGGAGGAGAAGTGCAGCGACTTCTCTCGGTGCCAAGTAGGAGAGAGCCACAAACAAAGGCAAAGCAAAGCAAAACAAAACAAAAGAAACCACCTAGCAGAGGTTTAACCTCCGCAGGGGAGATTTTCGACCCCCCTTCTTGGTCTTTCCGTGGATTTTACTCCTACACAGCTTTTGTCAATAAAACAGGATTTTAAAAAGGAGAGAGATTCTAGAATCTTTCAATGAAATTCAGTGGGGAAACCAAAAATCCCTTCTTCCCTCCCCCTCCTCTTAAGAAGTCAGGATGAGAATTTCAACCCAAATGAGGCAGTCAGCTCTGCTCTATCTCTCCCCTCCCTTCTTTTTTCTTCTTTTTTCTAACCTCTCAATCTTATTTAAACAGGAACACAAACACTGATAGTGTTTGAAGCACCCAGCTGGCAATGCTGTTGCTGAGATCTTTAAGATAATGGGGGGGGGATAATATTTGCAGGCAAATGCAGATGGAACCAAACAGAGAGTTCATCACCCCTCTATACTTTGCCCTCGGTTTTACTCAGACAAAGGGCTGGAAGTCAGAGTGTGTTTACTTGGAGGTTGTGCCACATGGACTCTGATTGGGCTGTTCCTCAATAATGCAACTTTTGAGGATTATCTCTCCTCAGAATATCCACATGGGAAAAGTATTTAAGGCAGAAGTTGAATGTGTGTGTTTGGTTCTACACCAGGTTATTTATGCTTTTCTAACAAAAGAACGCAGATACAGCCAAGGGTCCAACTATCCCAATGTCCTGGCTTCAGCCACCATCCCAAGTGGTCACCCAAGGAAGAGCACGAACAAGGAAAACACATGATAATTTTCCCAACTACTCTCCCAGTCACTTTGAGTTTGGAGCATTTCCTCAGTGAAATGTGCTTTCTGTGCACTTGTGGCCCTCAGCAGATTTCTGCTCCAGGTATTTATCCTGTCTCCCCATGAGTTCTTGTAAAACTTTATCATCCACAATATCCTTTGCCAGCAGGTTTCATGGATCTGCCATGCCCTAACTCAGTTTACAAGGATCTTACATCACTTACAGTGGAACCTTGCCAGTGTTTCATCCCGACTCCAAGCTCCTGGGTTTTTTTCCGCATCAGGCTGCTGCAAGAGGCACCTAACAAAGATTACACCTTGCCTAAGATTTGTACCAGCCTAACTGAGCTGGAGGAGTCCCCTCTATAGAAACTCTGGGTTCCGTTCAACATTGCCCTATTTCACTTTACTTTAAAACCTCTCCTAATTGACTAAAGGTGGGTGGAAAGAAGTTCAGCAGTGTGCCTAAAACAGTGTAAAGTCACACATAATGGCCTGTCCACACATGGAGTTCCCCTGATTAACACCATGTGTGGGCATTCTCACTCCAGAGTCAGAATTCCTTGTTCCTGTTTAGTTTGCCACCACAAGCTGTTTACCAGAAATGAGGCAAATTCAAGTAACTGTTTAAGAAGTATTTCTAGAAGCCATCATGACTGTGGTCATCTGCAGATGTGACAGCAGGTTTTTCCTTGGTTCGAGGTGGGGTTTTTTGCACAATATTAATACACATTTCCAGTATAAATTGGCACTCTCACCTACAGTCAGATGGAGAGGCCTCGAGTCCATGTGATTCCAATTACTGACCCCAGGCTTTGTAGTGAGCTGAGCCATGCACTTCAGGCTCAGCCCAGAGGTCCTGGGAGTCAGTGGAAAGCAAGGGCTTACGGGAGGGAACATTTTGCATAACCACATTTTTTCTTACATCTATTTGCAAGGGCCCTGTAATCCTTTTGTGTAGCTTTTAAAACAAACAAATTCTTTAATGAGGATTTTATTTCTACTTCAGAAGAATAAAAATCATTTGCAGAAGCTCAGATTAATGAGCAATGACAGCGTAACAAATCATTGTGCAAGTCATTTCCAAGGGGCTTGTTGAGAGTAGATACACACAAGTAGACTGACAAGGAATTTAGGATTACTCTATCAAACCCAGCCATCTATGGCAGCAGGTTCACAGCTCTCATTTGGCTACTTAGGAATTCTTGAGATGGGCTGATTAAGCCTATATAAGGACATGAAGCTCTGTCTAAGGAACAAAGCTGCCCTGTAGTCCCAGCTGTTGTGCCTCCCAGCTCCTCTGCTGTAGTGCAGCTCCCAAATCCTGACTTTTGTTTCCTCCACCCATCTGTCCTACAAGTTGAGCAAAAGAGAGGGAAATGAAATTGCTCTGGCTTCCCTGTTTTCAGGAAGAATGTTGCAAGGAGGAAAATGGATTCCCCTAGAAATGAAATCTAACTGTAGTTCCCAAAGGGAAACTCCTTGGGCCCTATGGCAAAAAATGAAGCCACATATTGGCCTTGTAATGGAAATGTGCTGCACTAAAGATACATAAAAAGGCCTCTTTGCATCTTAGCAGGAAGAATACATCACTGATGGCTACAGATACATAAGGATTAAGAAGATCCACGTGGATCCCACTGTAAATACAGGACCCCCAACCTTACAGTAGGGAAATCCACAGCTACTGGAGTACGAATGAGCACTCAGCTCAGCTCCAAACTCCAGGATGTGCATGGGACCACTGACATTCGGCTTCATTCCTGGAGAAAACACTACCTGAATCTTCTCTGAACTAGAATAAAACCTCTGGCCAAAAGACATGTGGCAACAACTTTAAATATTGAAAGTTTTGGAAATCTTTCAGGTTTCAGCATCTTAATATTGGAAATGGATTTTTAAGGATCCCGACTATCTTGCCTGCGCTTCTGAACAGTTTCAGCAGGTTTTCTGATTAAACTAGGACACATCTCTTACAAAAAGAAAAAACTTACCAGAATTTTCAGAGATGGATTCACAGCAATCTTTGGTTACTTTTGAAACTGGATGCCAATAGTCCAAGTCATTTATGCCAGATGGGAAGCAATACAGAGGCTTGTATCCAAACCAGGGAATCTACCTGGGCTCTGTGTTTCAGATGCCTAAAGACTGCCAGAAGAGGCTTGGGTTATTTTATAGAGCATTCCTTGCACTGCCAGATTAATTTCTGAACATTTTTTCCCCTTTGCATAGATCAGTTAAATATTCCAGACAGGGACTCATTACCCTGAGTCCTTTTCAACAACGTTGCTTCTAAGCATGTTGAGTTTTTGCCCCTTTTGAAGTTTGTATCCATTTTTAAATGTTGCCTACCTTTTCTTTTCTTTCCTTTCCTGCCTGATTAAGGAAAATATATATAGCTATCCTGGACACTCAGAACACACACTGGTTTCCTATTAATATGGATAGGGTCTGCTTCTAAGTCAAGGAGGAGTTTATTGGGGCATAAAGGAATGCTTTGATGATCCATGTCATTTCCCTTGTGGCATTACTTGTAGGATTCAGGAATAACTCAATCTGACATTCATGGGGCATTTCCTGCCTCCCCTTCTGGAGGTGCATCCTCCCAGTCTCTCAGATCTCCCCCTCCCCATAAATTTCCTTTCCCCTTCTGGACTTCCTCATGTCCCTGCAGGGCAGAGCTCCTCTGAAGTGTGGACAGGCAAGGAGCTGAGCCCCAGGAAGGCTGGGATCCTTTGGATAAGCTGGAGAGCAGTGTGAGTTGTGCACACGTGGGTTGGAGGGGACAGGGGCATCTGCCTTAGGCTCTGCCTGGGGCCTCCAAGGAGCCCACAGCAGCAGGGGTCAGTGGTTATTTTGGCTGCACTCTCTCAAAGGGGGGCTCCCAAGCTTGGCAATCAGCATCTGCACCAAGGGTTATTTTCGACGTTCAAACAAAAATCAAATCTCATTATAAAGGAAAAACCATCAATAGAGCAACTGGCTATTGTGCTAAAAGGCCACTTCCCCTCCTGACAGCCCTGGTAAATCTGAGCTCCGTCCCCATCAAGCAAAAATAATATCCAAGTATGTGACCAAATGATTTGTGGGCGCCAGAAAACATATAAGTGAATATAAGACAGTTGTACCTGCCAGCTTAAAATCAGTTTTCTGTGCTTCCTCTTGAGCACCCAGGGTCTGCTTCCTTCAGTGCTGTTTCTGTCCTGTTTTATGAATTTGCTGTAATATTTTACCTATCTTTTTCTGCAGTTCTAATAAAGCAAGAAGCCATCCCACCCATCTGCAGACAGCCCCAGCCTGCCAGAAAACTTTTATCTTACCAGTAGAAACTGTGATTGTAACGCAGGATAACGTAAGCAGACAGTGCAGAGAATATGAACACTGATAAAGCCCTGGGACAAATTCATGTGCACTGGGTTTGCTCCTTCTCCCCCAGCTCCACAGACAGCCCTCTGTTTCTTTTCCTCAGTCTCAGTTTCTTTAACAGAGGTTCCCAAACTTTATTTACTCATGTACCACATCTTTTAGACTTTACTGCCTTGGGCTGTAATATCTCTGTCCCAGGGACCCAGGATCATCCTTGGTGGCCTGATTCTACAAACAGATGTTAATAATACCATTTACAGGGAGTGGGGCTTGCATTTACACGATGCTGACACAATTCTGAGCACTGGCTATGAGAGGGTACCTTAATAAACATTCGTTTAAAAGTTATTGCAGTGTAGCAAACTGTTCAAAAGAAAAATATTTTCTGGCACAATTACACAGAAACTGGTTGATATCTGGCATATGAGAAGTTGGTGGACACTGGCTCT